GTTTTAAAATTTAATAACCAAAACAATTAATTTGAAATATGAACACCTACAAAAAATTCTTCACAACCTTTTAAGTCTATAAAGACATCATTAAAATATAAAAACATGACAACAAACACCAAATTCAGGATACCATTCACATCTGAGGTGGAAGTGAATTACTGAAAAGAGATACAAAAGGGGCTGCTACTTTACTTGCAATTTTCTATTTAAACAATCTGAAGTAAATGTGGCAAAAATAAATAAATTTAGAAAAATCTGAAAAAAAAGTATTGTTTTAATATGTAAAATTATGACACCAAAGAATGCTCAAACTACCGCACAATTACACTCATCTCACACGCTGGTAAAGTAATGCTCAAAATTCTCCAAGCCAGGTTTCAGCAATATGTGAACCTTGAACCTCCAGATGTTCAAGCTGGTTTTAGAAAAGGCAGAGGAACCAGAGATCAAATTGCCAACACCCGCTGGATCATCAAAAAAGCAAAAGAATTCTATTTCTGCTTTACTGACGATGCTAAAGCCTTTGACTGTGTGGATCACAACAAACTGTGGAAAATTCTGAAAGAGATGGGAATACCAGACCACCTGACCTGGCTTCTGAGAAACCTGTATGCAGGTCAGGAAGCAACAGTTAGAAATGGATATGAAACAACAGACTGGTTCCAAATAGGAAAAGGAGTACATCAAGGCTGTATACTGTCACCCTGCTTATTTAACTTATATGCAGAGTACATCATGAGAAAGCTGGGCTGGAGGAAGCACAAGCTGGAATCAAGATCGCCGGGAGAAATATCAATAACCTCAGATATGCAGATGACACCACCCTTATGGCAGAAAGTGAAGAACTAAAGAGGCTCTTGATGAAAGTGAAGGAGGAGAGTGAAAAAGTTGACTTAAAGCTCAACATTCAGAAAACTAAGATCATGGCATCCAGTCCTGTCACTTCATGGCAAATAGATGGGGAAACAGTGGAAACAGTGGCTGGCTTTATTTTTGGGGGCTCCAAAATCACTGCAGATGGTGATTGCAGCCATGAAATTAAAAGACGCTTACTCCTTGGAAGGAAAGTTATGACCAACCTAGATAGCATATTAAAAAGCAGAGACATTACTTTGCCAACAAAGGTCCATCTAGTCAAGGCTATGGTTTTTCCAGTGGTCCTGTATGGATGTGAGAGTTGGACTGTGAAGAATGCTGAGGGCCGAAGAATTGATGCTTTTGAACTGTGGTGTTGGAGGAGACTCTTGAGAGGCCCCTGGACTGCAAGGAGATCCAACCAGTCCATCCTAAAGGAAATCAGCCCTGAATATTCATTGGAAGGACTGATGTTGAAGCTGAAACTCCAATACTTTGGCCACCTGATGCGAATAGCTGATTCACTTGAAAAGACCCTGATGCTGGTAAAGATTGAGGGCAGGAGGAGAAGGGGACGACAGAGGATGAGATGGTTGGATGGCATCACCAACTCAATGGACATGGGTTTGGGTGGACTCCAGGAGTTGGTGATGGACGGGGAGGCCTGGTGTGCTGCGATTCATGGGATCGCAAAGAGTCGGACACGACTGAATGGCTGAACTGAACTGATGACACCAAAAAATATCTTTGGCAATTTATAAGTTTTTGTTGTTACTCATGCATCATTATTACCCTTACTCTGCTTTATAATAATAAAATCTTTTTAAAGAAAACTTTATTTTAGTACCTTTAATGGCACTGCTCCTCCTTTTTGAACAGAGACCTACATTTTCATTCAGCACTGGGCTCTACAAATAATGCAGCTGGTCCTGCTAATAGTCATTTGAAACTTCACCATTTGAATCTGGACGTTAATTTGAAATAAAAGGAGATCCTTTCACTATGAAGAAAATTAAGTGTGGCATGTAAACAGGATCTAGCATCTGGCAGTGGTCTTTGCTGCCCTCCCTTCTGGTAGGAGAAGATGACTAACTGATGAGAAAGATGAAGGAAAGAAAAAGTCTTTCTCTGAACACACATCTTACAAAGTCAAACTCAATACCTTGAAAAAGAAATAGAACTAGTAGTTGAATTCAAGAATGCACATGGAAAAATATAGTCCCTACCTATAAATAACTTGTTGATTGGCAACATGAGTTAAATACATAAAACAAAACAAAATCAGATGAAAAGTCTTACTTGAGAGCTAAATTAAATATAAACCAAGAGACTACAAACTATAGACTACTAAGAGACTACTACAAACTATAGACTACAAACTATAGACAATGAGGACTCTGATGAGAAAGGAGCCAATGTTTTAAATCAAAGAGGAATTCCTAAGATCTAAGATTCAAGGAATTTTTCTTATGGATCAAGATGGAGACGAGCTGGTAGCTGGCACAGAAGGAAGCAATACAGACTGTTATTTTCCCCAAATATTAAAATGCTAGATGGTTGCCCATAATCATCACTCTTACAGTATGTCAACGTACAGAAAGCACGGTTGATAGGCCGAGTGGGACTTGGGGTTCTTGGTCTGCCACTAATTATCTACATAACACAGGGAAAATGTAGCCGCTCTTGTTCCTAATCTGAAAACTGAAGGAACTGTAGATAAGATAGTCTTCCCACTCACAGGATTATATAGAGATAACATATGTGAAAGTGCTTTGGAAAATTAAAAAGTAGTAGTCAGAGCCTTAAATTATACATTCCAGCACCTAGAAGAGCTGCTTTATGTTAAAAAAAGAGAAAGAGAGAATGGTTTTCCTGTGATTTAACAAAGATTATAATTTCAGTGGAGTGATCATCGATAGTGTTATCTCCTGAAGCATTCTTAAAAAAGTATCTGTCAAATGCTGAATAGCAAAAATACCAGTAATTACTGAGTTGTCCTCCTCAAATCTCTCCTAAACTGAGCACAGTCATGATAAACAGCTAACACAGAAGTAGCTGACCAACGGAAAACTGCAGTGGTGAACACTCTGGATTAGAATCCAAAATAAATACCAAATTGTTTAAAAATAGCTTCATGATTTCGAAAACACTAAAATACAAACACACAAAATTCTTCAAGTTATTTGGGTAAATTATGATAAACATGACAAAAATATCCTGAATCTTAAAATGAGACATGAATTTTCCCAAGGTATCTCTTCAATCTTTATAGCAAAGTTTCTTTCTAGAGAATATGTAGAACCTAAGTGAAACTGCAAGGTTTGTTTCTGGGACACAGTTATGTAGCCTTGTATATATTTCTGTATTTTGAAATATTCTATTTAAGCATTTGTAAAATAGGATAATAATCTCTCCTCTGCCCATTGCATGGTGCTTTAAAAAAAAAAAAACCGAGTGTGAAAATGTCTTGAAAACAATGAGGGAGACATATTTCTTCCAGTTTTCATCATGATCTAAGATTCTGGAATCTTGTCTGGAAAAAGTCAGAGGTAGTGAGCAGGGGGAAATCTAAAAAATCCTTCATTTAAGGCTATAATGAATAATAAAGGGACAGGATACTCATTAGTGGACTTTGTTAGAAATTACGCAAAAAAGAACTAAAATTAATGACTATTAACCTGTTAGCAACCAGCTCCTGGTTACCAGAAATCTCTGTCTAGTCAAAAATTAATAAGTGTTATGTTGCAGGGGAAGAGAGGGATAAATTAGGAGTTTGGGATTAACAGATACACGCTACTATATATAAAATAGATAAACAACAAGGACCTACTCTATATCACAGAAAACTATATTCAAAATCATGTGATAACCTTTAATGGAAAATAGTCTGAAGACTATATACATGTAACTGAATCACTTGCTATACACCTGAAACTAACACAACATTGTAAATTAACTATACTTCAGTTTCTAAAATCCTGTGTATTAAAAAAATAAATCCACTGTAAAAAAGAAGTGTCATATTGCATACATGAAACAGACTTATGAAAAAATATCTGAATGTTTAAACAAAGTGATGTTGCCCTCAAAATAACCACACTTTTTTTTTTCAAAATAGACAACTCCCCTTTTTCACTGTTCAAAATACTTTTAGATCTGCTTCAAATTTTATTTGTAAACCAAAATAGTATTATCCAGAATTGCCCCCCCTCCAAAGAGTTTTGGCTCCTGCCAAAAATAAAATCTGTTCTTAAAGACTGATATCTTGCTTTCATTGGGGATTATTCAATAGCAGAGGCTATAGGCTTCAATCATAGGTTATCACAAAAGTTGATGTTCAAACTGCTTTAGCAGTGGCAACTTCAATGTTAACATCTGTATAGTTTTGAGAAGGAAATGGCAACCCACTCCAGTAATTTTGCCTGGAGAATTCTGTGGACAGAGGAGCCTGGCAGGCTACAGTCTATGGGGTCGCAAGAGCCGGACATGACTAAGTGACTAAGCACACCTATAGTTGTACAGGTAACTTCCTCAGAGAGATCCAACAAATGCCCATTTTGTTCTACTGTTAACCGGTCATGTTACGTCACAGTGACACTGCCCACATCCACGTCTGTATCCTGAGGTGTGCAGATCTGTATTTGTGAGCTTGTGTCCATCAGTGGCAGCTGGCATTCTTTAATACCCTTGAGACTGCTAGATGACCTGAAAAAGCTCATACAAATTTGACCCTCAAGCAAAGGCTTTATTAGCGTGAAAAACTGGCTTTACCTACTGGTAAGTCCTCTTTATCTCATTGCCCTGTTTTTTTAATTTTTTAACACCAAAAAGATTTTGTATTGGGGTACAGCCAACTAACAATGTTGTGACAGTTTCAGGTGAACAGCGAGGGACTCAGCCATACATGTACATGTATCCATTCTCCCCCAAAGCCCCCTCCCATCCAGGCTGGCACATGACATTGAGCAGGGTTTCATAGGCTATACAATAAGCCTTTGTTGGTTGTCCATTTTAAATATAGCAGTGTACATGACCTTCCCAAAGTCTGTAATCATCCCTACCCCCTGGCAACCATAAGCTCCTTTTGGAAGTCTGTGAGTCTCTTTCTGTCTCCTAAATTCATTTGTATCATTTCCTTTTACATTCCACATATAAGGGATGGCATATGCTATTTCCCCTTCTCTGTCTGACTTACCTCCATTAGTAGGACAATCTCTAGGCCCCTCCATGTTGCTGCAAATGCGTTGCTCGGTCTTCATGTTCATCATACCACTGATGATTTATCTCAGATTATCTTGATTCTGTTTGTTCCCTCTCCCTATTAAGACTCTAAGCTCCACTTGAGTAGGATTTTCTGGGTCCTTCTCTGCTCCAGAGCCCAAGGCCTGGAGCATAAAAAAAGCTTAAACTATTCAGGAGAGAGAGAGTGAGCTCCCAGGTCTGTGCTGAGATGTTATTCACTTCTGTGTGAAAGAAGTTGGCTGGTGGTTCCATTTACACAATCAAAAACAGGTGAGGGAGCCAAGGATCAGCTGGTCTCTCTTTCCTAGCCAACCCCCTGCATCCACACCCATCATCTCTGCCAGTTCCCACTGGACTCACATCTACATCCTTTGATATACCTTCTCAGTCTTAAAGTACGATGCAAATACAGCTTCAAGGCAAGGATTCCAGCCATTGTCACCCCTTCTGCACAGAAATCATGGAGCTGCCAAGGAAACCCACAGTTTTGAGTGTTTTATTTGGGGGCAGGTGCTATGGTATCAGCTTGAGTCTTCCTTTGGCTCTCTGGCTCCTGCAGTGGCGTGGAGGGGGAGAGGGAGGGAGAGAGAGAGAGAGAGAGAGAGAGAGAGATGTAAGTCTGAAATGTAGACATTAGCCACTACCTCCACATTAGCTTATACTTACAGTCACCCTTGGGGGTGGGGAATCATGTTAAAAATGGCTTGCTAAATACAAACGTTTAAAATTAAATCTGCTCTTGTTCAGACATTTCTCCATTTTTAAAGATATTGGGAGTCCCAAGAAATGGAAGTGGCTTGGGCACTCTCTACCTCGAAAAGGTCCTGAACAAGATGGAAAGTTCTAGCTTCTAGCTACTTGACCTTGAATATATTTTTGAAACTTTGGCCACCTAGTTTAATCATTTATAAAATGGAATCATCATCTCTACCCCGCCTATTGCACGGTACTGTTCAAAGGGCCAAATATGGGAAGACCCCGGAAAGCAGTGAGGAGCGTCCCTGGGAGCAGCTTCGGGAGCACCGCCCGCCTCCCCGGCGGCTCCGGGCCTGGGCCGGGCCTGGACCGAGCCTCCTGCCTGAGCAGCAAGAAGTGCATGTCCGGCTCTGTTCTTGCGGCCACCAGCTATCCAATTCCGAGATGTTAAAAGTGATAACTACTATCACCACTGTCTTTTCACCTTTGGTAGCCATCTTTCCAACAGAAGGGGCTGAAATAAAGTGGCCTTTTTGACTGTCACTTGTTTTATGGAATGAAGAGCTCACCATTAACCCCAGAGAAATGAACAGAGGGTGGAGCTAAAAGGAAAAGGCAGCTTCTTCGCTGACAGATGGGCGTTTTTTGAAAGTCGATGGCTAGTGAATTAGGAAAAAAAAAAGTCTTCATGCTTCCAGCCACTGTGGATCACAGGTGGACCTTATCTCTGTCCCCTCAGAACTAGTCAACTGTAGCCAGTCTATTATTACAAGCAATTGAAAGCATCTGACACAAGGAAAGGAAAAATGAAGGGGGGTGGGGGTGGAGAGGAGGTCAAAGAAAGTCAATTTGGTCTGCACGTGCTTAGCAAATAATAAAAGGGGAGAAAAAGGAGTGTCTGTTTTGATTATGACAAGGACTAGAATAAAGCAAGAGGCAGAAGTATTTATTAAAATGTCCGCTGTCTTCAAAACCTCCTAAGTAAATAATTTCACCAGTTTTCCTCAAATAGATATGAACTTGGTTTTTCCCCCAGGTTCTCAAACCTGTCCTTCAGCATAGAGTTTAGATTTTCTTGAGCAGATACTAAATTATATATATACACACAAATTTTAAAAGGCCTGATTTCTAGTTTCTCAAAAAATTGAAACACGTGGCAACGAGGGACATCGATCTTCGGTCCTCTGCCCCTCCTTTCTCCCCTCTCTTCTCCGGTCCTCCCCTTTGCTCCCCTCTTTTCTGTGGTGGGGAAAGCTTCTACCCCCCTTTCTCTCCCCTCTCCTGGCTTTCTCGCACAGTCTGTCTCCTGTTCTCTCTCTAAAAACCTGAGTCCCTCTTATTTATTTAGACTTCCTGCCTGGCCCCGTTGACTCGTGAATTTTTTACCCCAGACCATGAGGCGGATAGTGTCTTTGTTTGGATTTCCTTTATTTACACTACATTTTAAAAGGTTTTCCTGCTTCTGAGCTTTTGTCTTAATGTCAATATAATATGACCACCTTAATAGTAAAAGACTAGGAAGACAGACTTTATTTAAACATATTTTGGTGATGTAAACAGAGAATGCCTTTGCTCTGTGTAAATAGAACAGAGACATTAGAATTGTGAATGGAAAATATATATACTGATAAAAAAATTAGCAAATTTCACCAAATTCAGAAATCCATTCAAATGAATCTGTAGATAAGAGAACCTGATTTTATTAAGCTTCTAACTTGGAGGAACTCATTTTACAGTGACAGAGCATAATAAACTAGTTTTTTTTTTTAAGGGTATGCTTATGTAATTGAATATTGCACCAGTTACATGGTGGGGCTATCAGTACCACAAATGAAGTCCCTGGTTGTAGATCAGGACCTCCTAAATTTGGAATCACTTTGGATGCCTTAAAAGAAAAAAAAGTCTAACTCCACTCCAACAGTTTAGGATTTAATTGGCGTGCAGTGTGACCTGGACATTGGGATTTTAAAGCTTCCCAGGTGCTTCTAAAATGTGAGAAAATTTTAGAAGTACCGCTGTAGCTGTTGCTTTGGCTATAACTAAATCTTAGTGCTACTGCTTCATAAAGCCAGTCTTATTGGTTGAAAATAAAATCATTGGCATATTCCCAAAGCTGAAGGGAGAAGCAACTCCTCCCAAAAGGTGCAATATGTCACTAAACTCAGGATCTGAGAGAACAGCCGGCCACAGGGCTAATCTTTTTACCCCAAAGGAACTAACTGATCCAGCAAGATAATTTCCACAGCCCTACCGAGACTCTGACAAGTTAGTTCCTGAACTGAGCCTTGCTATCCCCATTTGTAAAACGGAAACAGTAGTACCTTCTTTTGAAGGTTGTTCTAAAGATAAATAAGATCACGTATGTGAAGTAATATTTGGTTCTTAATAAATAGTAACTATTTTGAAAAATTCAATATTAGTGATTTTTGTTGTTCCCCAAAGCCATCGCCAACAATTCTAGCTAGTATTAATCTCGCCTCCCTTACGTTACAAAACACAACAATTTCAAATGATTTTGTATTGCTCTACAGTTGTTCAGTGAATGTGGTCTTACTGGCTAGACAAGAATTATTTGCAAGAAAGGGAAATTAAACTGATCATTTAACAGCAATGATAAAACCCGTGTGCTTCTCACACAGTTGAATACAGCATGTTAAGTTGAGAGACTTGGCCCTCAAGTTGTTAGAGGAAACGGGCCATGACTTGTAAGGCGGTGTCCAGGCCCCCAGTGAGTCAGGAGCTGGGAGGAAACTGTGGATCCACATTTTCCTTCTCAAAGGCAGACTAACCCGTATTGTGTGTATTACCTTTTTGCTGCAGCTGTAACAAATTACCAGAAACTTGGTGTCACAAATTCATCTCACAGTTCTGTATGCTATGAAAGGTAACAGAATATGGCTCCCCCAAATATGCTACTGTGGCATCTTGATTCTTTTGAGCTGTAGGCACTTGCAAAACAGCAAAGGCAGGGAGAGGCTTTTTTCTGATCTCCCCTTATCTGCCTAAAGACAGAACCTCCAAAAGGAACTCAACTGGGATAAATTCCCCTCCCCAAGAGTTTCCTTAGCCGGGGAGGAGACTAGTGGCTGACATCACACCCAGACAGACTTTGTCACAAATGTCCTGTCGCCCATCTGTACTCCCAAGGGCCTATTTATCTTTCATAAGAATTCTTTGCTCTCCCCTAGGAGGTATACACCCCCAGCTCCCCTTTCCCTATTAAGATGGTATTTAATCCTGAATCGTAAAGCTACCTCTTTTAATTACTCATCTTCCTGGCTATTTTCTGAGTTATGTGAATGCTAAGTCACTTCATTACCTGCCACCTGACCTGCTTCCTCAGAAATCTGTATGCAGGTCAAGAAGCAACAGTTAGAACTGGACATGGAACAACAGACTGGTTCCAAATCGGGAAAGGAGAACGTCAAGGCTGTATATTGTCACCCTGCTTATTTACTTATATGCAGAGTATATCATGCAAAATGCTGGGCTGGATGAAGCACAAACTGAAATCAAGATTGCCGGGAGAAATATCAATAACCTCAGATATGCAGATGACACCACCCATACGGCAGAAAGTGAAGAACTAAGAGCTTCTTGAGGAAAGTGAAAGAGGAGAATGAAGAAGTTGGCTTAAGATCATAGCATCTGGTCCCATCACTTAATGGGAAATAGATGGGGAAACAATGGAAACGGTGAGAGACTTTATTTTTTGGGGCTCCAAAATCACTGCGGATGGTGATTGCAGCTTTGAAATTCAAAGACGCTTGCTCCTTGGAAGAAAAGCTATGGCCAATCTAGACAGCATGTTAAAAAGCAGAGACACTACTTTGCCAACAACGGTCAGTCTAGTCAAGACTATAGTTTTTCCAGTAGTCATGTATGGATGTGAGAGTTGGACTATAAAAGAAAAGCTGAGCGCCAAATAATTGATGCTTTTGAACTGTGGTGTTGGAGAAGACTCTTGAGTCTTGGAGATCCAACCAGTCCACCCTAAAGGAGATCAGTCCTGGGTGTTCATTGGAAGGACTGATGCTGAAGCTGAAACTCCAATAGTCTGGCCACCTGATTCGAAGAACTGACTCAATGGAAAAGACCCTGATGCTGAGAAAGATTGAGGACAGGAGGATAGGGGGATCACAGAGGATAAGATGGTGGGATGGCATCACTGACCGGATGGACATGAGTTTGTTCAAGCTCTGGGAGTTTGTGATGGACAGGGAAGCCTGGCGTGCTGTAGTCTGTGGGGTGGGAAAGAGTTGAACGCGACCAGTGACTGAACTGACTGAAGTCTCTTCAGTCATGTCTGACTGTCTGATGCTACGGACTGTAGCCTGCCAGGCTCCTCTGTCAGTGGGATTTTTCAGGCAGGAATACTGAGTGGGTTGCAATGCCCTTCACCAGGAGATCTTCCCAACCCTGGGACTGAACTCACATCTCCTGTGTACTGGCAGACAGGTTCTTTACCACTAGTGCCAATTGGGAAGCCCACCTCCTGAGGTATACATGATAATAAACGTCTGCTTGTTTTTCTCCTGTTAATGTCTTTTATTACAGGAGGGCTCAGCCAAGAACTCTCAGAAAGTTAGAGGAAAAATCATTTTTTCTTCTCTACAGTTAGAAATAGGACATGGATCCCACCTATTTAAGAGCAAGGTGCTGGCAGGACACATTCCTTTCTGGGAACTCAAGAGGGACCTCCTTTGCCTTGTCTTTTTCAGTTTCTCGAGTCCGCTTTCCTTCACTCTCGGCTCCCTTTCTGCTTTTTCAAAGCTGACAAAGTGAAGCAGCGTCCTTCGCCACGCAGCTGATTCTCTGGTTCTCATTTCCAGAGCCACAGCTCTGCCTTTGTCTCCT